ATGAAAGCCACCCCATCTCAATAAGTGGGGGGATATACCTCCATCCCCCCGCTATCTACGCCCCTGTCAGATGAACTCAAATTTGGCTTTTGATATGCATACAAATATTCATAATCATAATCTTTGTTAGCAGTACTTTATAGGCGCCGGGGAACGATTTTTGAAGTGGGGGTGCTCAATTTGTTACGCTCGACAGTGGCCAATGCAGGATTTCGAGGAGGGTGGTAAGAAACAAGCGGGGGTATGCGGGCCCTCCCCCAGAAAATTTTGAATCCCCAATTTTCCTCCTGAAAGTAGAGGGGGATAATTGTACACGCCTTGCATCCCCCCTCCCCCCCCCACTATCTACGCCCCTGGCCGCGAACCAGTCTTATATGTATTGCTGCGAACTGCGAACTGTCTTATATGTAAGCGTACACAATCCTAGAGAGCACCTAGAGACATAACCCAGATGAGACGGGATACCAGAGAAGTGTTGCCGAAAGGAGGTGTTGATCCTAACCGCTGAGCGCAGATCTTGCGCGCAGTTCCGCGGAAAGGCGCACGCAACCGCGGGAACCTCCTACGACAGTATGCAGAGCTGGCAGCTATGGATCCGTGCGCCGAATGCATAGGTCGGCGCACAAATCCATAGCTGCCAGCAAACAGTCCGATATTTTGGGGGGGACACCGAGGGCAGACATTTGGGATGTGGGAGGAACTTGCGACTTAGATGGGGGTCGTACAAATGCCCCTTGGGGGGCCATTTGCGGAGGGATGGATTTGGGGGGGGAATATTTGGGAGCACCCCTTTGGGGGGAATAATCCCCTGGGGGGTTTCAATCGGGAATTTCGGTCTTTAACTGTAAACCAGTAGTAGTACTAGCTAGTAGTAGTAGTAGTAGTAGTAGTAGTAGTACTACTTAGTACCGGTACTAATCCGTACTACCGGTACCGTTTTTACCGGTACTAATCGGTCTCTCTCTTGTCTTTCACAAGACACTCTAATGCAGGTGCGGGGATTATCTAATGAAACATGAAATTAAATCTACTTCCAGTTCTTTAAATATTAATACTTCGAATTGACAATATCTTTCGTACATATTCTACTGCTGGTTTGAGTACCCCAGTGTAGTCCCCTCCCCAGTCTTCACGTTGTTCGCTGTTCTTATATCTGTTATAAAACTAACAATTATATATGTTTCAAGTTCTTTTTCATATTGTTATTACATAAATTGCACCAGTCATCCCCGAAGTTATTTCTAAAATCGCTTTTAAGTTCTATCATACATGTTTTACATTTAAAAGTAAAGCACGCGTCAGTAAATGACATTTCTTTCATATATTCCTTTAGCCCGTAAGTTTCTATGTTTATCATCTTCATTTTCGTTTTTCCTTTGGTATTCATTTTATCTCTTGATATTACGCTTTTTAAAATAGCTTGTTTGATTTGTGTTTTTTTCAGGCTTTCTTTGGTTTTATTCCTATGGCTGAAAGTGATATTCCTAACTCGTATAGTTATCTAAAATTTCCGAGGTTTTGTTTGCCCAACTTTTTTCTTCCTCTTTAGTCTGTTGTATGTATACTCTTTTCATTAATCTATTATTTTCCAAATTAACTATGAACTGCAGAAGCATGGGTTTTTTGTAATTTATCTTGTCTGATATCGGTAGTATACCTAGCTCTATTCGAAGAGCTTCTAGCGGTGTTTTACTGTGTGCTTTTAGTATTTTGCGTAAGCACTCATATTGGAAGTCTTCTAATTTTTCCTTCTTCCTTGGTCAAGTTTGCGATTTTAGCTATTGTTTTGTGATCCCCAATTCCAAGAATGTCGTCCATATGTAAAAGTGGTCCAATTTCTATATTATTGCCATACATATATACTGAATTATTTAAATTATTTAAATGATCTAAAGTCATACAACATAATATGGGTCCTAAAATAGTTCCCTGGCGAACTATCTCTTTTGTTTCGAATCTCTCTGTTTCACCTACCGGTGTTTTAACGGTGATTACTGCCCTTTCATTCATTTTAAAGATTATATTCCAACAGATTATTCTGCCCTCTGTACCAAAGCTCCACCATTGAATCTTTAAGCCAAAGGCTATCGAAACATTTTTTGATGTCTCCAAACATTAGACCAATGTTTTTCTTTTGTTCCCTGTGTTTGTCAATTATCCCTCTCAGTACGAATAAATGGTCTGTTGTGCTGTACCCCTTTTTACACCCGCATTGGTTTTTGCAAGTATCTAAGGTTTTATGTTTACGTTGCCATATCCATTTTTCAACCATCTTGCTTATGATGTTTGTGAGGAAAATACCTCTCGTATTATTTAGGTCTCTTATTGAACCTTTCCCTTTATACACAGCATTTATTGACATTATATTCCACTGTATTGGTGTCATTGCTCCTTTGAGTAGTGTGTTCACAATTACTTTCAATGATGTTAATATTTCTCTGCCCCCGCTAATCATAAGTTTATTTACCATCCCTTGGTTGTCTCTAGCTTTGTTGAATTTTAGCGAATCAATTACTTGCATAATTGCGTGCGTGCGTGCGTTCGTGCGTGCGTGCGTACGCGCGCGCGCGCGCGTGTGTGTGTGTGTGTGTGTGTGCGCGCGTGCGTGTGTGTGTGTGGCGTGCATGCAGCAATGCTCTTGTAAACTCAAATCTGCTGAAAAAGACGCATGTTTATTGGAGTCCAGTGAGCGTTCCGTTATGGCGATTTTGATTATCGCTGTGGAATAAGTGGACACACCGTCCCACTATCGTGCACAAACTTCTGCATACGCCCATCTGGGTGTACAGAGGGCGGAGATTTGTAAGTCAGATAGTACACAGTAAATAGCCAAATGCTAATCCTCCCATGATAATGTA